ATATATATATATATATATATATATATATATATATATATATATATTATCCACATGAAAAATAAATATAATCCTATACAAAATTTTAATAATTTAATAATTTTATAACACAGGAGTCCGAAAAGCAACTTATGTCTAACTCATGAGGATATTTTAGCTCATAACGACTCGTACGCGTGTTGTGTACTCGGTTGAGTAGGTATCTAACCGATGGCAAAATTCGTGTTCTCACATTGAGCGCTGAACGCGACAGTTCGAGGCTCGTTCGTCCCAGTAGGAAGGTCGCAACGTGGAACGTCATGTGACAAATGCTCAGACAGTCCGCTAGTCAGTATCGAATACACACGCTCTTGAAATATGCGTACTCCCGTTAGTCAATTAACGTAATCCTAAGCTTTGGTATGATAAACCCATGCATTCCCTTCGACGTGCGCAAAGCCTTAGGATGGGGTCGTATGTTCCAAGTACTGAATACACGACGAAGATATATATCCTATATCGAGATCTCTATAAAGGATTCGTTCTTTAAATTAGGCGGAACTTTCGGAGCTAGACAGTCACGTTCAGCTGTGAACGCGAGGGTTCCGGCAAACTTGGTTAAAATACGACCAAAGGAAATACATTTTATTGATAGTCACTGATATGTATCTAGCTTGACCCGATGCCCGTAAAAAAGGATTCTTCGAACATGTGTGTGTGCGTGACCGTCACCAAGGACTGACACATTTAGGTTCGTCTTCGATAAAAATTCAATCGTCAATTGCAATTTTCCCGACATCTCTAGCCCGTAGACAATGTGTGCAATATGCTCAACATTTTTATCCCCTTTTAATGGTCAGTTCAGTATCAAGCGATATATACATATATATCTAAGGGATTCCCCTTGCAAATATTACCGGTTAATCATCACAATAATTGTAAAGTTTAGAAATGCAAATCTCGTCGGAAGATAGAATATTCTGCTGGCAGCTTTTTGTCCTCATTCAACAGTCCTCAATGTATATCTCGATAAAAATATCTTTATACTGTCTGGAAACTTATGGGTATGCACTTTCCACACAGAATAAATTAAGACTACCGACTGGTAAAAAATACCGTCGCAAATCGAAACGCGCGATTAATTTGCCATTCGATAATAAGACTTGAAGACAGCTTGAAGGATCATGTAAAATCGAGTCTAATCGAAGACCTTTATCAGCTCTCCTCATCCGGCACGTGTTTCGTGACAGAATTGTAGTGAGCACCAAGCTCGTACATGTGACGATGATAGGTCACTGTTACTTTTTTACCATTGGTGTACTGGTCTCCGATGATGTAGGGAGTCCCTGTAGCTTGTATAACCTCGATCGGACTTTTTAGTATACACGATAGTACTTGAAGCTGCATGACAAGCAAAGAAAATTTTATACAGATTGATTACTGTTCTCATTAATTCGCATCACTAATCAAATTTCTTTGCGGATTGTTTATTAACAAGAAACACATCGACACAAGTTGACACAGCCGCATTAAGCATCCCCTGTGCACTGTGTTCAATTGTGTGACACAGTGTTTTTTTGTTGGATAGTGTCCGCGACATATATATTTTTTTTTTATTTACCTCGACTGCGCCGCCCCAGGTACTCGTCTTGGCCACATCGTTGCAATACTTCTCAAACTCCTCCGGTGTCAATAAGTCCTCAGAATCGGGATTGGACAGAAATGGTAAAAAGTCATTCATATTTTCTCTCAAATAATCAGCAGTCTTCATTCTGAGATCATGCAGGCTAAGGGGCGCCTCCCCATTCACCTTAAGTTGATGAGCAACTGCGTTGTATAAACTGCGAAAGTTTGCAGATGTAACAGCTATTTACATACACAGTATGTACAGAATAAAATGTATAAGTCGCAAGTCATGCATCTAGATCATTGTACGGAGAGTTTCTTGTTTCTTTCTTTTTCTTCTCTAGCTACAAACGTCGAAGAGAAATAAAAAGTTTACCAATGGCCATCGCTGGGAATTTCATAGACCATTAAACCACGCTCGGAGAGAATCTTCTTTATAGCTTCCATCTCCACGTTCCTTTTACCAAACACGTTGAGCGCCTCCTGTTCAATGATTCTCTGATTGCGCTCCCTCTCTGCGATCGCCTTCTTCTCCCTTCTTTTCTGAGCTTTGGAGATCCTTTGTACAGGCTGTTCCAAGCAATTGTTATCCGTGCTGATTTCCTCGCTCATGTCTGCGAGTTCTGCCTCTTCCTTGTCGTCCAATTTAACACGAGCCAATCTCCATGCGTTCAACTCCTCCGTGTGACGTTTCTCCAGACTCTCCTCTAAACGGCCCACTTCCTCCATAACCTCTTTCTTCTTCTTCTTGTCGCCTTTGCAGATTGACTTCTTCAAAATTTGTATTTGCGCTACGATGAAGGAAGAAACATCTGACAGTGCGCGTGTCGTGAAAATTTTAAATCGTTAAATTAAAAATTAATTAAGATTGCAAACTTCAACGGAAAAACGTCAAAACCAAGGCTGTCTGACGAGGACAAGCTTTGTTATCAATGATTCGTATACCTTGCAGTTCCTTCCGTTCTCTCTTGTGTTTCTGCATTAATTCGTCCTCCGTTAATACAAGATCTGCCATTTTAATTTAAATGTAATCACAGAGTGTCAGTAAAAGTATCCCCTTCGGAATACACGTCGCGACTGGCAGAGAGAGGAATGAGAAAGGTCACGGTTCTACATTCTTGTATGCGCAAAGCGCCATCAGTGTCGATAAAACGTGCGCGTTAAATTATAATATCGATGTCCGGTAATTTCTCAGTAGATGACACGCAACGTTTACGTTACCCTGTAAATAACCGTCCAAACAATTTATGTGCGAAAGTCCTTATTTGTAATATCAGACTCTTATAAATTTATTCCCCTCTATCCCCTACCGTACTCTCCATCCCCATCTCGGGAAACACCTAAATTAGAACTCTAAGATAATTAATAAAATCTATAAAGATAATGAATAAAAAGTTATGCATAAGTTATATATTAAAAGAAATATGTTTAAAGAACCTTGCATTAAAGAAGAAAAATTAGCTTGCAAGAAAATGTTTATTCCCGACGACCTACATGCATGTTCCCTTATATATAAAATCGCTTAAGATATTTTAACATTATATGCAATATCCATATTTTGCGTAATATGTATCGTAATACGTAACTGCCACAATATATATCACCTAGAAACCCATAAAATGTTCATAAAGTGTCAATCGATGTCCAACTTTCGGAAAGTTCCAGAAACTCCGAACAAGTCATCCGGATTTATCACGGAATCAACACGGAGAGACTCGTTAACCTTAAGTTTATTCTGATCCAGTAACCAGTCCCTTTGTTCCATTAGTTTCGCCCGCCACATGTCTGAAATAGAATAAGGTCAAAATAAAATTAGAAAAATGTTGAGCTATTTTTCCCCATGTCACCGAATAATGAACATTTATATTTTCAAGTTTTAAATATTAACAAATTTTTATGTTATAAAAATAAATATTGCCGTTTGTACATATTGGGGACGGGCGAAATTTTCCACGAAAAGAAGATACTAGGCGAAAAATGTAATCATACTTCTATTTTGCGAGAGATTTGACTTTTCACAATCTAGACATTAAATCCGCGAAATCGTTAATAAATCTACGTGTTCTTAATATCAATTATTTACCTGTTAGAGTATCCAATGATGGCGCATAACCGCCATAATCCGCTGGTAAAATAGACCTCGGCAAATCGTTATATAACGATTCTATCCCGGTTGTGACGATTTGTATCTAAACATATCGTCTGGTTAAAACTATACAGTTTTACTTAAAAATTACAAGTTGTTTCTGTTGTAGCGCAATCATGTAATAAAATGAAAATTATAATATGCGAATTAAATTTTTATAGAAATATTTTCTGTACTTACTCTACCAAAAAGTTTTGGTTTCAAAAATTTTTTTATAAGCGCCAACATTTGTTCGAAAACAGGCGGTGCGTTTATCGCATACAATACTTTGAATCTCATGCCGTACGCCTCCTGAACACATTTTAAACAATTATTAAATAATCTAAATTATAATATATAGTGTATGCAGTGTTGTAATAAATATATATTTTTTTAAATAATTAGATATAAATGCTGAAAGGAAAATATGACTAGATGCTAGCAAATAAAACGACTTTGTCTCTTGCTGAAAAGGAACATTTGAAGTTACCAAAATTATATCTGTTTCTGTAAAATATTAAGTGTGGATACAGATACATGATAAAATAGATCTAATTACAAGGACAGTTACTGAAATGAAAAATGTAACTAGTTATAGAAAAAGATAAAGAACAAATATCTAGATATTGTAATTAGATACATGCTCAGCTAGCAAAATGAATATAATTACGTACCATACAGAGGTCCACTTTTTTTAATACGCTTGGCGTATATTTTAATACATGACCCAAAGTAAGATGAGTATAATCGGCAATAATAATTTCAGAATTAACTGTGTCCTCCTTTGCACGTATGTCTAATGTCATCAACGCATATCTACAACATCGGATAGATTCATTGCTAGCGTTATTATTAGAAAGTAATTTATTACCATTACTAATACTAAGAAAATAACTACTTGTTACAATTTCGACTAATTTTCTCATCAAACTTTGAAAAAATTATTCAGGATCTGAAGCCGTCTATCTATTGCTTAGCTTATCTGGAGTTTTCACGTTAATTAAAATTTTTCAATAAAAATATCTCAGAAATAAACTCAAATGTAACATTTTTCTAGTTTAACGTTGGTACAAACTTTTGATAGCGGCAATATAGCGAGGAAGTACACAGGAAGTATTCGAGGATTCAAATTTCACTATTTTGAAAGTATCAGTATGATATGACATGTTTGTCTAATTTGTACGTACCTCAATATATCATGCAAATGAAAGGATTCCTCATCGGGGAGCAATTTAAAACAAGAGACTCTATACTTTTCCGGAGTTAATGTTGGTAAAGGTACCCACTGCCTGAAACGAACATATATTCCTGAAAACATATTTAGCACAAACGCAAGAAATTGATTTCATAAAGATATTAACAAAATAGTAATTATTCTGCAACAGTTCTATTGATTTATATTGTACATAAAATATTACTCTTAATTATTTTCTATTAAATGTATAATTGCATCTAAATAAAAATCTTATAAAACGCGAGAATGCGTTAATATCTATTTACATTAATAAAATATAATATTATATTTATCTATGAATATTCCATTAAATTATAATAATTAATTCTGATTACGTCACTTTTGATAATAATTTTCGAATATAAAATATTAAGATTAAGACACGAAGATATTTCAATAACATATCATTTACACTTACACGCTTTTGTGAATTCGAGTAATATTCTTGCTCAACGGATCATAGTCGTCAAAAATCTCAGGAAGTAAATTACGAAGAGTATATATCAAGTCCAAACGTCTCTTAGCTTTTTCAAAATTGAATTTCGAAGATAAAAGAGTGTACCGTAATCGATTGTCCGAAATTTCTGCATAAAATATATAATTATGCATTATTACAGTATTTTAAAGTATTGCATTCACCGTTACCATTTCAGTCGACATATTACAATAGAAAATAACAAAGTAAGTAGCTGAATTACATGTCATCTGTGATAATTCAGTAAACGCCAATAGTAAAAATAATATGACAACTGATAACAGCACGCGATAAGAAGCATCCTATCGGCAATTATTACAAGAAACATTTAATTCCACGGCAGGCATCTTTGCAAAAAAGTTATTGACCTTATTCCATTATACCCTGTAGTCCCATTATGCCGCAAGTTCCCTTATCAATATTATAATTTTCCACCAGCAACATTATAATTTCCTACTAAGTCTAATGAGATAATTTCTTCGACTATAAAAGTTATTAATGATTGTGTATAAATAATAATCGACGTCCGTGTTCGATAAAAGACAAAATAATACGCATTAGTATAGTTGCACAGGAGCTATTTTTGAAAGGTAATTGCTAGCAAATTTGTTTACATATATTTTGTCAAGTTGAACGCTACGTGTAAGAAATGAATAAAAATGATTGAAATTTTTAAACGCAAACCTTGTGGGAGGTGAGATTGCTGTTGCAGCCATTGCCGAAATTTATCGAGCATCTCTTGATAGAGCTGCTCGTCTCCTCCTGCTACCTCTATTGCTTCTTTAATAGTGATCGTTTCTAACTTAATCACGTCCATAATACCGTTTATTCTTCAATTGTTGAAATTATTTTAAACAAGAATCTGAAAAATTGTTCAAAACATATTAATTTACGATGATTATTGAATTTAACGTTCTATTTGCCTGAGGAAAATGGGGTAATACCGGTCAGTAGTAATACTGGTTTCTTTTACTGCAATTAAATTGAATTCTGGGAAACACCGCTATCTTAGCTTGTTCACGGCTGAGCTGTTACGAAAAAGTTTGCTTAGTCTTTTTCTGATATAAGAATCATTGCGAAAGAAGCGTCGGCACATTTATTCATGCTAAATTATTTGCACTACATTCCCAGTAAGCAAGAAATATTAAATTAACGTTTAGAAATGTTGACTTTATGTCTATTTTTTCAACGTTTCTTTAATAATATTACATATATATTTTAAAAACATTATTTCGTAATATAATTTTTCTGCACGTTGTTAAAATATTTTAAAAACGATGCAGAAAATATTTTTTGAATGTTATTTTGACATTTGATGTGACATCAATATATCCATCTCCATTTACTGCTATATCTATATATCTGTCTATCTGGTTAGCCAATAAGTCTTTTCATTTTTTTAAAAGGCAAAACGAATATATTAAGGATATATTAACGATCCTTCTTTGACAGTATTTTTTGAAAGTCCGAACGAAATTAATATTTTTTAACTATATGGACTAAACGGATCATGCACGGAGGCACCGACTTCTACGTTTTTCGGTGGTATTATGCAAAGTATGACAAAGTTTTCTGTATATTCCCCAAATTGTGGTTAACTAATTATAAAAATGCGATATGTAGTTCTTATTTGCTTCAATCGTTAAAGAGGATTGAAACACCAGCAACGACGAAATTAATATTTTGTACAAGCTTGTGCTTTACATAAGAATTAAAGTTTAATTATTCATCACGCATCACGATGACCTATGCTAGCTCGTATTGGCTGGTAAATGTTTACTTTTTATCGTGTATCTGAGAACTTATTAGATTTATTTAAACATCCTCTGTTTTAAAACGCAGACATTTGCACTTAATGATTCTATCTTTTCGTGTTATAAATAATAATTATAACTATAACACCTTAAAATGGCTACAAAATGTTATTAATAAATAAAAATTACATTAGTATACTCTTTTATAAATTAGTTCAACTTCACGATCTCACGATTTTCACTTCACTGTCACTTCGTTATTAAATGAATTGCAGTATTTGCAGAGTGTTACTAAACGTCGACATTTTTGAGACACATATATATTGCGCGCTAAACACACATGACATTCGTGGATAACCTTTATCTTGAGTTCTTATCGATATATTTTAAGCGATAAAATCTACTCTTGAAATATTGAACTTATATATAGGGTGTCTGTGGATAAATACAAGAGCAACTGTACACATGTCAATGTGAACAAAAAAATCCATTATCATTGTGCAAACCGTATAAAATTTTCAAATATTAATTAACGAAGACGAGCAAATAATCACATGCGATGCGAATGAGTACCAAGCGACAAGACGCGAGTGAAATGCTCAGGATTTCATATAAAAAAAGAACACATTTAGCGCTCGGAAAGAAAACAAATCTGCGGGCATTATTTTTTATTTTTCTTATTTTATATTATAAACAGCCAGGAATAACTTTAGTGTTGATGAATTATTTTATATCCCGCGTAAGAAAAATTAAAAAATTAAATTTAATCCATTTGAATATAATTAATTATGTATGTGTATATATATATAATATATATATATATATAAGTTAAGAGTTAACCATGTTTAATGTATATATATATGTAAGTTAAGAGTTAACCACGTTTAATGTAAACTAATAAGGACACCTCGTGAACCACAAAATTCTGATTTTAATGAAACTTGGCATAAATGTAAATTGTGTAAATAATATTAAAAGTCAATTTAGAAATTATCGTTTGGGTCTAAAAAACATTTTGAACAGGTGAAACCATCCTTCAAAAAAAAAACAAACGCTTTCGTATTTCTCCCACTATATCTTGTATGAACTAAATGAAATATTAAAAAGATTTATACTAAAATTCGAATTTGCTTGCTCAATCGCATTAAAAAAGAAAGAGAAAGAATAAGAGTTATACAATATATATTTTTAAAAAGAAATGAAATAAGAATTAAACATTTCTTTCACAACTACAAGCACGTTTCTGATACCACAAAAAAAAAGAAAGTGTTGTTTGTAAATATACGTATTAAAAATGTTACAATACTTACATGATATTTGACACGCTGTATTTGCGACTATTTTGAAGCAAAATTTCTTCAAACTGACGTATAACGTAGATTTTTAACAAGATAATGAACGCGAGCGGTAAATATTGATTATCATATTGCGGAACAGAGATAATAATAATTTGTCATGATCTGTCTCATGCTCCTCTAAATTACTATAGCGAATAACGGAATGCTCTCCGAGTCAACAAGTCGCCACGTGTAACGTGGTGTAACCAAGTGTGTAACTAATGAAATACGCCCCCGTTAATTCAACGGCGGAAAACCGAAACATAACATGAGATTCCGATAGATAAAAAAGTCAGACAGAGCAAAATGGAATAAGTTATATCTCGGAGTCTTATCCATTTTTAGCAGGTTACAGAACCACAGTACAGAGCCACTTTTACTGGAGTACAGAACCACTTTTAGCAGATAAAGGATATAATTTAAAAAAATAACTCCAAATTATCAAGTGAAGCTAAAAATATTTTTATAAGACATATATCCAGTAATAATTCTACGATGCAGGAGGAGTCCTATTGCCTCGTATTCGAGGCGTGATGACCTCTCTCATATGTCTGTGGTGCGCACGCTGATTATACACAGGCATATGGGCCCTACAGTTTAACGCCGGTTCCGAACGGTAGATTTTTAGAGAGGCGTTCATGGCAAAGATACTCTCGATAAGTTGCTACTTGTTTTCGAGAGGAGACACGAGCGTAAATACTTTGGTTTTTACCGGGATCGAATCCGGGATCGCTAAGCACAGTAGACCGGTGTGCTGTCTGTTGCGTCACGCTCGCGCTCAATTCTACGATAACGGCATAAAAATTTGCAAATATAATGTGTTTGTTATTATAAACAGGCTCATAAAATGTCTGTCGTAAACAAGCCAATTAGCAGCTCATGGTTACATAGTGAAAGATCTTGACTACGACTAGGATTCAACTAAACTCGACTGACGTTGCAGACTTCGCTTTACTCGTAACATCGGTCTCTCATAAACGCATTCCTCCTCCTCCTCTACCCTCACGAGCAATAAAATTAGAACCACTTTGGATAACTACCGAAATTAAAAATTTAAAAGTTACGCGTAACTGATGCGTTAAAAGATACATTTTTAAAAGACATTGCATTAAGAAAAAAATAAGCTTACAAGAAAACTTTTATTACCGATGATCTACATGTTCCCTCTTAATACAACTCTCATTTAATTATTTTAACACCATATATAACTATCCACATTTCTGTACATATTGTATGTAATATATTGGAATATCCAACTGCCACAACATACATCACCTATAAACCCATAAAATATTCTTAAAGTGTCAATCGATTTCCAATTTTCGGAATGTTCAACGAATTCCGAATAAGTCATGCGGATTTATCACTGATATATTTAGATACTTTAAATATTTTTCGCAGAAATGTATTGAATGAAACCAACAAAATTGATAAAATTGATAAAAAATTTTTGTCATTGCGTTTTGCAAATATAGAAAAATAAAACACCGTAACATGGTAATTTCGTTACCATTGCAGTTGCTACCGAAAAAAAACGCCGATATCAAGTTATTACTAAAAAATACTTGTAACACTTCACTACGTCATTTGTAACGGCTATATCGCTTTATAATCTTAATATCGATTTATAGTAACAAAACATAATATTAGTTATTTATTTATTAAAATATCACATTACAAATTATAATAATTAATTCTGATCACGTCATTTTCGAATATAAAATATTAAGATCAAGACACGAAGATATTTCGATGACATATAATTTACACCTACATGTTTTTGTGAATTTAAACATTATTCTCGCCCAGCGGATCGTAATCGACGAAAATCTCTGGAAGTAAATTACGAAAAGTGTAAAGGGAGTCCAAACGGCTCTTGGCTTTTTCCTAATTGAATTTTGAAGTTAAGAGAATGCACCGTGACCGATTGTCCGACATCTTTGCAAAGATGTGCAATTACGCATTACTATCACAATATGTTAAAACACATTGTATTCACTGTTACTATTTCAGTTGATACATATAGCGGAAGAATAATTTAAAAGGACGGAATTAATTTCCCCTATAAGGAAAACGCAAATTTTATAGCGGAAGTGTAGTTTAAAGGGACGAATAATCGATATTTGTACGGATTCTTTACTAAAATGATAAGAAAAGGTCGTTTAATAACGTAAATATATTTACGGTGATAAAAAACAATATTTTATCATCATTTATCTTATACAAATGTATCAAAGAAAATACAATTCAGTTCCGAAGAGCACGGCAAATGTATTTCATAATTTGTAGCAACTTTCAACTAAAAATAACATGACAACTGATAACAGCACGCAGTAAAAGACATTGATCAGTAATTATTACGAAACATTTAATCCAACAACATCTCTGCAACAAGTTACGACCGTATCCCATTATACTCCAATTCCTGTATACCCCAGATTCCTCTATCAATATTATAATTTTCCACTGGCAAGATAATTTCTTTGACTATAAAAATGTTAATGATTGTGTATAAATAATAATCGACGTCCGTTTTCGGCAAAAGACAATATAATACGCATTATTATATTATAGTTACACGGGAGCTATTTTTGAAAGATAACTGCTAACAAAATCGTTTAATTATATTAGTATATATTTTATAAACTTGAACGCTATATGTGAGAAATTAATAAAAATGGTTTAAATTTTTTAACGTAAATCTTGTGGGAGATGAAGTTGCTGTTGCAAACATAGCCGAAATTTATCGAACATCTCTTGGAAGAGTTGCTCGTCTCTTCCTGTTACCTCCATTGCTTCTTCAATAGTGATCATTTCTAACTTAATCATGTTACATATGTATGATATCGTTTATTTTTCAACTGTTAAAATTGTTTTAAACAAACAGGAACGGGAATCTGAAATTGTCCCAAAGATCTTAATTCATGTGATTATTGAAACGTTCCATTTTTGTTAATTATTAGAGGAGAATGGGATGATACCGATCAGTGAGTAATAATTTACTTACAGTTCGATTTTCACTTCACGAGTGTCACTTTACGATTAAAAAGATTCGGAGTGAACTTCTAACATCGCGTTAAAATGCAAATGTATTGCTTGATAAAAAAATAAAGTGTTTCTGCAGGCACAACTAGTGAACTAGATTACCTTGACTTCTTATTTATTCTATTTATGTCTGTAAAAGACGCTTATACTGGGTGTCTTTGAATAAGTACACGAGCCATCGTACACGTGTGATTTAAATTAATGTAAACAAAAAAATTCACATCATTTTGCAAACCAAGTAAACTTTTTAGATGTTAACTAGTTTACGAAAGGTAAAGATGGACTTACGAAGATCGAATATTTTCGGCAGGTTACGTCGCCTTGGGAGAATAAAAAGATATATACAGCTCGATGAAGATGAGTGATCTACGTCACCACTCAAAGCCGGTGGTCGGAGATATTGTTCACCAAAATGGATAATAAATGGCAGGTCATTCACGGATAAATTTTGACACAAAATTTCAGCTCAGTTAACTCCGATTATGAATTATTAACTCTGATTATGAAAATATGAAAGTGAGAAACGATTAAGGTGATCTTAATCGTTTAAGGTGATCGTTAAGGTTTAATTAAGGTGATCTTAATCGTTTCTCACTTTCATATTTTCATAATCAGAGTTAATAATTCATAATCGGAGTTAACTGAGCTGAAATTTTGCAAGAACTGACATTCTCTAAGAGACACAGAGATGTCGAGAAAGAAGCAAAAATGCACTTGAATAATTAGAAGACACGAAAAACTGTGACTGCTTTTATCAAAGACCGGGAACCGACTAACCGTCGCGTAAGTAGAATTTATACTCGCTGACGCGATATCCATTTCTTTTCGCCTCTTTCCGTCAAAGTCGCTATGGTTAGCGGTTTCTAATGAAAACAACCAAACGAACTTGGTGTTACACGGCATTTTCAGATTCTTTTGGGGATCCGGTGATTGTTGAAAATTCTCTCGAGGTGACAACTTCAGTGAGCTGTCAAATACACATTCATAGATGTATTGACTTATGCTTACTTCATCTCAGAACCTCCTTTAAAGTGGAATAACTTTTGATCCAGGCTCCGAATTACTGTCGGACTTTTAGTATCACTTTTAAGTGCAATGTGAGATTAATTTGTAATTTTTTTCATAATTTTTTCCGTCTCGAGATACGGGCAATACATCCTTAAACTGTTAGCGGCAATCGTTAACGATACACGTGAAACGCACCTTACATTTTCAAATAGGACAACAAGTTGAATAGGACCTTACCTTTTTATGCAAAATGACGACTGAGAAGGGAGTAATGATCGAATGCACAATTAAACCACAATGATCATTTACCATCTATTAATATCCAATGAAGGAGGTGAAATACAATTTTCTCCGCTAAGCGTCATCTCCTTTATCCCTCTTACCTAGGAAAAGAAACGGTTGTATCGCCGCGAGGAGTGGCGGGCTCGATCGGAGGATTTCTCTTTCTCGAACCAGTTGTCAACATTATTATTTGTGTGTGTGTGTGTGTGTGTGTGTGTGTGTGTGTGTGTGTGTGTGTGTGTGTGTGTGTGTGTGTGTGTGTGTGTGTGTGTGTGTGTGTGTGTGTGTGTGTGTGTGTGTGTGTGTGTGNGTGTGTGTGTGTGTGTGTGTGTGTGTGTGTGTGTGTGTGTGTGTAAAACAATTGTTACACACTAGAGCGAGAGCGCGTAATATAAAACAATGACTCTTCCGGTTGGTTTATTACAATACTTGTCACTTTAAGTTGCGCTAACAAAAATATAACTCTCATTACCGGTTTGTATAGTGATTCCACATTCGCGTCCATATAGTATACAAGTAAAATATCTCTTGCAGTCGCCTTATATATCTACGGAGTGTCCGCCAAGTCGCGCGTGCCATTTGCAAGACCGTTCAGTTCATCGTCATGTATATATATATATATATATTTCTTCTAAGTCTCTTAGAAAAGTCTACACTTCTTTGACGAAGGATCGCAGCGACAACAGACACTAACAAGCTACACGTCACTAAGTCATCCTTATCATTACAATTGATTATCCTCATCGTCCTAATCGATTAGCCATTAAGTAGCCTTCGATAAATACTGTATGTTAATTCACCTTCAGTTTTCGTGACTAATTAAATTCCACAAGGAAGCGTCCGTGAGTTTCTCCCGGCGACTCGGCGGCTTTTGGATGCGGATCAGTTAAAAATTACACGGCAACTACACGGACAAAAATTAACATCAACTCAAGACTCTTACATATTAAGTAAGAATATACTGTTACGCCCGCGTCTTGATACCCGCGCTTTTAGCGCTCTGAACGTACAGCTGATTCTTTTCACAATGAGTCATAAGCAATATATAATCAGCGTTGATCGATAAAAAACAGGTTTGAGAGATTCTCTCTGGGGTGATCGAATCGTCACGTGCGCATCGGTCTCTCGCGAGAGAGAGAGAGAGCTTGAGTCTGCGAGTTACGCGTGCTTTCTTGTAAATAGCAAATATATAGTTAAAGTTGTTTCCCACTTAACATCGTCTTGTTTTATTTCTCCGCGCGAGTGTAACAATACTATAATTTTATATGAAAATTTCATGTGAAAATCTCGACTTTTACTTGGAGAAATTCTACGTAATTCTATTAAAAATATCATATTCTTGTTACTCAAATAATAAACTGAACTAAATACGAAATAATAAACAGAGGTTTGTTGCATTGAAGAAAATACTGACGGATAGAGAAAAAAAGAATAAGTTTCACATAATCGTTATGGAAATGCGTTGTTCAATGTTAAATATATGTTTTATCTTTATATAAATTTATACGTTTCTATTTATATATGAGAACACGAGTCTTGAATTGATACGATTTTTTTCTGTGTAATCACTCTCTCTTGTATTTTTTGATTTCACAGCATATCCGACGCCCGTCGAAATCAGAGTGAGAAATACTTCCGAGCGTTCTCTCTCGCCAGCTATAAGCAATCAACGTGATCACGATCTAGCTTGAAGTAAAGATTCTTACAAGGAAACGATCGGAAATGTCCCTCACTGATTTCGTTAGCCCACCAAAATCGGTGGGGAACACTTCCGATCTATCCTTGTAGTTACACTAGCGAGTGACATCGGCCACAAGTACGGCAATGTCGGCAAGTAAATACTCCTTGGAGCAAAGGGCCTTAAATTAAAAATTTCACTATCGCTGCTCGCATTTTCGGGACGATTCTCATCGTCGAGATCGGAGTCCCGGAGGATCCCCTCGTGAACGTGACCTCTCAGAATTTTCCGAGAAACACGGCGACGACTGTGCGTGTGAATCCCATCGCCGTCGACGACGAAGACTCGACGGAGGCGAGTTGGAAAATAATGGATTTTCCTCCGGCTGTGCGGACTCCGCGAACACTTCGTAGGAATACATATATACATATTATTGTGTATGTACACATGCGTGTATGTATTACTCCGTGTGTACCTCCATAAATTTCCGCGATTTAGTCGTAGTATATTATGTATATGTTATTTCTCTCTTTTGTATCTCTTTATATATCTCCTCTCTATTTAGATGTAGTAAACGTCCTGTATATAGAGCTATTCTCGTGCCATATTACAACGATACGGGCAGACAGTCAATGTTTAATGATATTATGTTAACTTGCTTAATGCAAGCGCCACAGCTAATATATAGCGTTTTTGAGCAATACGTAATGCTTCTCCTCGTGTTCAAGGATCGGGAGATTATCGGGAGCGTGGTGTGCGACGAGACCGCGGAGGATCGCCGAGGCGGAACCCGTATCGAGAGAGCGGATTTCGCGATTCAGACGCAAATAGAAAATCCTGCTCAGCGCGGAAGCGACAATCGCGCTACCCACGCCGTTACGTGTGACTTAGTGACAGTCGCTGACAGCATTCCTGATCATTCGGTCACGATACTCCGATCGATTATGTCCGCGACCACTGACGTATCAATTGACATTCCACTTGTAAAATTAACCTCCGTCACCTTTGCGCTTGATTCTGTCATATACAAGGTGTCCCTACATTACGCCTCTCGCTCGCACATTCGCTTCGGAGGTGCAAACCGAGAAATTTATCTGCATATTTCTCGGCAATCAGGATCGATACTTGCCAATTTGTGGGGACAATGACGAATTTAATCCTACGCCCTCCCGATATCTTTTCGACAGTCAAAAAGTTCGGTTTTCTTCTCAAATTTAACTTGATTGCCTTCAATAGAAACATCTCCGCAACGGTATATAATGCATAGAGATATTATCAGCATTGCTTATATTATATATATATGTATATATATATATATATATTTGTGTGTGTGTGTGTGTGTGTGTGTGTGTGTGTGTGTGTGTGTGTGTGTGTGTGTGTGTGTGTGACGTCATTTATTGAAAATCGAACTGAACTTTCTGACTAACTCGATAAAGATGCGAGACAATACAAATATACGCGCGGTTATTTATCTAAATATAGATACGAGTTGGAAGAATGATTTATAGTCCAGGACTCGATGATTCCGATATAAGAGATGTAAAAAAATAGGATGTACCTCGCGATGCTGAAAATGCGGTACAACCGTGAAAAATAGACACGTCGATGAGTAGAGACAGACATCTCTGTCGGAGAAAAGGATTTCGCCGCGTGAGATTTCTCTTCGCCGATGTGTGACTCGGGACACCGTATATTATCGAATCGCGCCCTTTAGGAAAGATTTTCTGTTTCCTAACATCAATTGTGATAGATTTAAGCGTAATGAGACACCGTCGATTATGTGTCACCCCTCCTTTTCCGATCGGCGTAATTCGGAGCCGGGACGAATAATTGATCCCTCGTTTGCTTCTCGACTTCCCCGACGAAGTGTTAAATGTTCCTCGATATTCGTAGAAATCTTGATTCTCAGGGACAAAAGATCAAAGTATTAGGAGTTTTCACCTCGTATGATCTCGACTTACCGACTAATCAACCTTCGGCACCTTCGTCTCAGCTCCGAGTCCGCGCATTTATCTCATCACACTATTGTCGACGAAGCACCTAATAATAGCTAGTCGTATCAAGATGATCTCTCTCTCTCTCTCTCTCTCTCTCTCTCTCTAATATTCTCCACGGGATTAACGTGATTATTTACACAACATCTAACGTTATTTACATCGTCCGCTACTTTTTTTACGCGTCTACGTAACAAGAAGGAAGTAGCTTTTTTGTACCACTCGTCTCCTAAATATTTCGATGCTTCGTCTAACATAAGAATGACTCACACACGATCCGATCCTTCTTCGCGAGTAAACATACAAAACACTTCTTGATACGCGTGTTATCGTCGGGAGGCGTTCCAGAAATACTGTCACGGAAAGAGAGAGCTCGAATAAAAGAGGAAAGAAAATTTAAAGATAATCATTCGAAAGAACACCGTCAAAATTGGTGTTGTTAATGGTACTGTTAACTTCGGGAGTTAACGATTGTAAATAAATGCACTGTCACTTTCACTTACAAAATTACACGGAGAACCTCTCCTTCTGCCCCCGCGATATGAGTATTACGTGCGAAGAAGTAGCCCCGAGAAGGATAACTCGGCGCGGACCTTGCAGAGCATTACGTATTACGTTTCTCTAGAACGTTTTGGCAATGAGTAGAGTGCTAACAGATCTTCTTACACGCTAATTACCTCTAAGCGTCGCTTACACATGATTGTGTATGTATGTATGTGTGTGTGTGTGTGTGGGTGTTCGTGTATTTTATGTATACGTGTCACAGATAACGTTACGTTACTTCTCCTTATTGATAACAACGGGTAGACTCAGGTAACAGTTTTAACAAGTTTTTCGTTCTCTCGGCGCATCGTTCCGCCAAACGAAGTTCTCCGCCAACGATTCATGCATCTTTGCGTAATTCGCGCGGATGTCGGCGTGTATCGAATCGAGAGAGAGAGGAAGAACACACTTAAAAGTAGAAAGAACTAGGTAAGCTTACAACGTAAGATGAGATACTTGCCGCCCGGTTGTTTGCCCTTGTCTCGTCGTATCAAAATGACGCAAAGTATACGAGTGAAAAACCTTGAGTATATGTACATACACAGCGGAAGTCAATTCCTGAATAACGATATAGGGATAATACAGGGAGGAAGGGGTGGTGGTGGATTCGCGTGTGTAACGGAAAGAGCCGTGTAATCGGAGCTGTACAAGGATTCGCGAAACTGAAGACCCAGGAAAATGCAGAATCGGGAATCCACATGATGCAGGATCCGCGAAATCGAGTAAGGAACTTTTTTCGGTCTAGTCTTTGTATGGGAAGTGTCATTACGTCGATCAGTGCGGATGTAAAATGCTGAAAGAGAGGAATGGCAGATGAGAATTTCGTCGCAATTATTAATGCGCAACTACAATATAAAATATTTCATCACGATACTCGTGAACGGCAGATTTCTGGGGGCATCTTAAAACGAAAATCCTAATACGAGGATATTGAGACTACAATGGAAAGCGTTTAAGAAAATGACTCGATCGACTGTTAAGGATTCGCGCGATCAGGTATCAGATTCATCTGACAGACCGGATTTTGGCGATACACTGGGAGAAAAATATTCAAAATAAAACAAATATTCGGTAGGTGTATTAATAACATGTTTACTTAAAGCTTCCGAGTACTCGCTATGACTGGTCTTGTTTAACGACGTCGGGAAGCGAGAAAACGCATGTCAAGATTCCTTGCGTTGTGCTTTCAAGGGAAGAGATATATCCACAAAATAACACTAGTGATTGATTCAGCACACTTGTAAAACTGTCCGAACACTTCCCTTTTACTCGAACAATCAATAAACAGTCGCAAATTTCACTTGATATAAAACCTTCCTTTCCAACCTCCCCTCGTGATTTTGTCAATGTTAATTTTACGACTGTTTATCTGGACTGAAAAAAAAATGCCCCTGTGAATCTGTCATTCACGGGTGTCACGGTAGTAGTAGTTGCAGTAACGGAACACCGTGTATATATAAATATTATATAACAAATTATATCACACGCGTATCATTTAAACAATATATGTATAGTTGTGCATTTAACAAGCGCGGCAAGATTCTTCGCGGTAATTCCTCTCCGCGTCTGGGATTCCTCTTCGAAAGGCGCCGCTTAAAATCCTCAAAAGCCAAGACTCCGTGATACGGGGAACACAAACGAGGAAGTGAGGACCAAGTCAAGGCGGAACGAAAGGGAATCCCGCGATACCACAAGTCCGAGCGAGAGAGATCCGCGACGCGGGGGGATCCGACGCGAGATCGAGGATCCGCAAGACGGAGGGTGTGTCCGCGTGAAGTACGTGTAAAGGAACGACGTATACGGCGTCGAGGAACTACGGGAGAGTGTGGACTAAGGGCTACTACGAGGAGTCGACGCACTGAAATTACGAATACGCCGCTTGCGATCGTGCGATCCACGGTAGGACGACGCGAGAGTCTAACGAGAGAAGAGACGGCCGTCGCAACGAGGATCTACGAAACGAAGAGGGAGATACGATCTTTCGTGTGTATACGAAACCAAGTGTCCTTTCTTCGCGAGTTACCGCCGGGACTCGAAGAACGAGCGGCAACGCGCAAATCGTCAGAGCTTCTCCGGCGCCGTCGACTGCGAGGCCGCTGCCGCCGACGTGGCCGGCGGTCCCACGCTCGTAGATCGCTCCAACGGGAAGGACGCCTTGCCTAAGGGTGGCTGCGAGATCGCACGCTTCGTCGTCCTAAAAGAGCTGTCGGTAATCGATTAATCAATCAGTCAGCAAATCCCCTCCTCGAGATGTCCGGCGAGAACGTTGGCCGATAACCCTTTTTCCTTTTTAATCCAATCCCGATGGTAAAACACTGGAGAAATTGCGCAACGAAATTACATCGCTGCATTACATCGTGAAAAATATTTTGCATCGTGATTTTGCTTTGAAATATTGAAATCAATGAATTGTCCTAGCCGCAATCATGGGGAAATTTCTCGTCAATTCATGATGCCATTATTGCGCAGTTTTTCCACAATTTGCCTATCGGGGAACTTAATAGTTTGAATCGACTCGATAAATAAATTTGATTTGAAGATAAAGTATCGAAATTATGTTCAGTATTGTATAACATAATCTCGAATTGTATCTTATTTTTCGTACGATTGTAACATCGTATAAAATTTGCGACTGCAAACGCATTCTTCATTCTCGCGCTGTCGTTGAGACCGTAAATTTTATATTTTCATCCTTCAACGGACTTCAGAAAAGGATTACGAGTCGAGTCCTCGGAGTCATCTCGATAAACATTTCATCGCCGGCATCACTCGACGTATCACCATCGAGCCAGTCTGGCAAATGACAACACGCAAAATGCGATTCTTAAGGGGAACATCACATGTTGCATTCTTCCAACTATTCACACGTCTAATCAAGGTCTATCGATTGTGCAAAATAGAAGCGAACTGTAAGCCGATCCTGGAGAATCGTAGAAATCTCTGTGTGATCACGAATATCCTGAGGAAGAAACTTCTACTACGTAAAGAACAATAGAAAAATATACGGCAGATACGAACGATGATAAATTAAAAAAAAAAAGAAAAAACATCGAGCTGGAAATCCGCTTGAAAACTCATAGATCATAGAAACGACGACCAAACGATTTCCCTTCCCGGCCACCAAATTCGCTTCTGTTGTACGTGTGCAATAAGCGGCGGTGATGTCTTTCTTATCCGTTTGTCACATTCGGATGAAAGCGCAATAATGCATTCTGCGTTTCTCCTCTATCACATTCAGGCTGAAAACAATTAGTAATTTCACTTGCGTTTGTCAATGCACATTATTCACTTCTGTTGTGTCGTTGTCATTGCAATTATTTCTGCTAAAACACATCTTCTTTCGACACCCTATATACAGATAATATCAACAGACGTCTACAGGATGCGACGGAGGATATATGAAACAACGGAGAGATGTTCGTCGATTTAGAGAGAATTTTTTCTTTTCCTCAAGGAACACCTCGTTGGAAATCGTAATTCGCAATGTTTCAATCTTCACCATTAGAAATTCCCAGGATTATATCTTCAAGGTTAAAATTAAATCTGACGGGATAAAGAGAAATATATTGAATATTTGGAGACTCGTTAAATCCTCTTAACTTTTCCGAATAAGCTCGATTGATTTGAAAGAAGTCGAACGATCGAGCTTTGACGTTTTAGATTTCTGACCTCAAGGTTTCAAAAAAATAGAGAGAAGAGTCATCTTGCTCCTCCCCGTTGTGCATATCTCATCGCGCATCCTGTATAGAATAGTGTGCTTCGCATTGCGATTCAATTCACTTGAACGAACGGAGTGAAAACAGATCGCCATTGAAAGCGGATGAATGAAAAACAGCACAGCGCGGGGAAAGCGGCGTGTTTTACATCGTGTTGCTGGAAAGCGTGACGAGAAACATCTCCATAAAGCGTTAATGAATGATGAATCAGATGTGGGAGACGAAAGACGCCTGTCCGCCCTGCAAATGACAGCGAGACGATCGTTAAAAATTTATACAGATATACACACATAAAAAAGAATCTGTTGAAATCTTCTCGGATGACGTGGGATTGCGGCGCTATCGCTAAGCCCAACTAAGCAAAACGATTCCGAGGGCTGTCGAAGCCCCCGTCGTTAATTCGACAACGCGTAAACACTGCATAGCCTTGGCGAGCGCTCCATTTTCTCCACCGTAAATAACAAAAGACGCGCAATTCTGACGTCTTCGTTTTCTAAATTTACAGACAGTATAGATAGTATTTCCATCGATATGCAGCTAAAATTTAAAAGAATTCCTGGAGAAAAGTTTCGACGGACCAGCTACCTTGACGCTCGGTTAGGACAATTGAGAGAAATCGGCCGAGCAGAAACCACCTACAGGAATCCTGCGGTTTTCCGCAAACCGAATTTCGTCGAATCTTTCTGACTCCCCCCAGGCAACGAGAAAGTCAGTTATGTTAACGGAATTTACTTTTTGCGTGCGAGTATCGGCCACTTGGTATTCAACGTGTTAACAAAAGCAACCCGGGCGGATTCGATAAGCGTCTTTCGATCGAATCGAGAATAACACACTAAATCACTTCGCTTGTCGCGATGAATTCGCGGGGGAAATCGAAAATTCGCTGCCAACGCTACGAAGAGAACCACAAAGGTGGACAAGCGAGAAGGAACCGTGGAACGATCTCTTTTCTAGACATAACAAAANGGGGGGGGGGGGGGGGGGGGGGGGGTGAATTCTAATCGGTCGACCGACCGACCATCCTTTCGTCCGACCGACCGATCGACCTCTACAAGCGCATTACGAAAGAAACGTCGTAATTTGATGTAAATGGCTCCCTTACATTTCGGTATCTTATTGGCGGCTCTTGTCACGTTCACTTTCGCTTTCTCAATAAGCGTTCAAACGCTATCGTTTCGTTTCGTCCCGTGGTTCCGCCACCTAAGAATGGATGGAATATCGTGAACCAACCAGAACCGCACAGAGTGACAAGAGATTATAATGGTCACACGTGTATATATGATAATAGTTGCACAGCTATCATGTGACGCATGGACGGATAATGAAAAGGCCAGAATGCGATTTTCTAATAGGGATCACCAGGTCAGCGCGCGTGTCGGTTTTTTTTTGTTCGTTTTGCGAAAATTTGCGCATTCATATGTAACGGTGATAATGTTAATAATCGTGCATGTGTGTGTATGATATAATTCTTTCGCGATCATCATTCGTGCTGCCACGTTCTTTCATTGACGTAAGCAATTCCAGCAACTGATCTATCATCGGACGAAAGATCACTCGTTGCTATCGTTCGATCGCTCGAGTTGAATTATTCTGCGAAAACCGAACTCTCAAGTGGAATGGAAAATCATGATGATGTCAAAAAGATAAGAATGATGAAGTAAGAGGAAAAAATATTGGATAGGAAGTACTGCGAATTGTATCAGTTTAAAGAGGTCGTTCTTGCTATTCAATATTTTTCCTCTTAATTCATAAAAATTATTTTCGAATTCATTCTGAAAATTATTCCCCCGCAATTCATAAAAATTATTCTTTAATAACAAAAATATGATATTTTTAGTATAATTACGTAGAATTTATAAAAGATTATATATTTTTGCTTGTACATTTATCAGATCATAAATCTTGATTTGACGTTTTTATCTTTTATGTGTATAATAACTAACTTTCTAACGATAAGTTAATAGCACGCTTGTCATTTTTATCATTTCAACGCTAATACAACTTTCTGTTCTAGATCCTACGAGAGATACTCACGCTCAATTGAATACGTAACAAGTTCTCGGTAAAAAAAAAAAAATAATTATGTCAGGTAAATCGAAGCTTAATTAGACTGAAATTAAATTAATGCAGTAAATTAAAATTGGAAAATTCTTTTATCGAAAAAAAAAATTAACCAAAATAAAATTTAATTCAATCGCGAGATGAAAAACATTAACAAACGTTAAGAGGCTAACGAAAATAACGTTAATTACAATCGCAATTAGACGAAAGTATCCTGATAATCATGATATGTAAATTTTGAATCGACATTTTACATTTCAATTTGAATCGCGTTTGAAAGGAGCTCCAATTCTGTTATGTAAGGAGGAGGGAACGTGAGACCCGAGCGATCGGTGGTGGATCTAGCGTTTTGTAAACACAAAACACTCATCTAACAGATTTGTCAAGCGGCACGTGAATGAATAAATAGAAATATAGAGAGATAGAGAAGCGGCAGTTTACCTTCGTCGCTAAAGTGAGACCGGTTCGTTTCGGGGAGGATAACGAAAACAACTCTATCGCCCGGCGGTATCTAGACGGTCATAGAGCGGATAAACCACAAATCCTGGACACTATGTACTCTAGCCGATAGACAAACGATAAGTTTCGAGCGTAGGGTGGCGACAACAGCTTTTTCGCCGATTGAAAGATAGAGACAGAGTGATATTTAACTACGCTGAGACAACGCGACATATCCTCATAGCAGGTACCTGCAATCAAGAGACTCGTCAACGATATCGGTCGGGTGGCTCCTCTATTTTACTGGTTAGACACAGCATAGGGCATGGCCGGTGCAGCGCGCGTTAAAGGTAGAGAGACTCGATCGTAGCTGTCAGCTGGAAAAGCGACTCATCATCGACTTAAGGACTTCGCGCTAATCACGATAATCCCCGAATCGGAATTTTGCGCTTACGTTAAGCCTTGAATTTCTACGACACAGAAGGAGCTAAGATAGCGGAATAGATTCAATTTCGATTCTAACGATAATAATTTACTCCTACTAATTTCACACGAGCTTTCTACCGATAAGATCGCGCTGCGACATATGCGAGAAGTTTTAGGAAAAGCAAAGAGCGTAGGCGCCGACTTCCCCTTCGATACGCGATCTTTCAGCTGCTTTTTAAGCCCAGAGGAAACGACTTGTTGAACTAATTTATCAGTTATTTCTTCAATGAAAAATAAGTATCGCATAATTCTAGTAAATGCCTTCTTAAATTTAGAACGATTTACTTGTACCCTGTAATTAATTTACAAATTAAAATATCACTGCGTTAATGTTGGTATTTACTACAAGACATCGAAATATAAATTCTGTTAAAACTGAAATTGAAGAAAACTGAAATGGACAAAAATATTAAATGATAGGTGAAGATAAATAAATTACGTTCACTTGATTCCCCCGCACTTTTTTCCCGTATATTATCACAAGTAATATTGGCAGGATATTCGATGGAATATCTTTCGATTTGTGTGGTTTGTCTCTGTCGGTTTGCAAATCGGACCGTTGCCGATGGACAGCCGGCGCCTACGCCGTAGAGTAAGTAGTAGACGGTTATAGATAATTACCAATGTGAGTAAGTAAATTGTACGTAGATTATAGGCGTGTGTTAGATGTGAGTAAGGTAGATTTTCCGCTTTAAGTAGACGCTGTTGCGCGCCGGGGAGTTCACCGCTGTGTCGTTACTGGAACATAGCCGGTGCTCGTTTTCACACACACAGAGGACACACACACTTGCCACGGCGAGCTGTGGCTATTCCCGCGCGCAATCGCCACGCAGGGTGTCCTTGCTCAAGCCTTTCTTGCCTGACCGTAAGAATAGCACGGCGAGAGCCATTTGCCGCAACGGCGGGGCGCTATTGGATATCAAAATTGGACGATTGTTGTATATGTCTCTTCTTCAAATTCGCTTGTTTCGGCCGAATCTTTTGATTAGTCCGAAATGTACGCGGCAGGCTGTAGAACCGGATGTACGCGTCGAACATTGATGAGACGAGTAATTGGAACTTCCAGATTTCATCGGATGTCCCCGGTGTGAGCAGAATGTCCAAAAATCACCGCGTAAGACGACTTTAAGACTTTATCTTTCCGAGTCCTTTAAGATGCCTTAAAGTCGTCTTACGCGTCGATTTTGGACATTCCGCTGAAGACCGGGGTCCTCTCGGATTTCCCTTAACAACTTTTAAACCGGCAACACGACGAACGTAACTATCGTTAACTTCATAAAAAAATAGAGGAAATTAAACAATAACACCGGCGGAAGTTTCTCCGGGGAAAAATCATAGTCGTTTGAAAGCGTTGTCAGGCAACAAAGGATTAAGACGATAAACCTCTGCTCTCACGCTGACTGCATCTTTCCTTCGTAGCAGCTTCGAGAGCCAGTTGCACCGGTGTCGCGCGGATAATTCGACTGATAAAATTTCGCACGCGGAAACGTGAAATTCGCCGGGAGAAAAAGCCCCATTGATCGTGGACTGTTTCGACCATTTCACACTTCCGAGATTTCAAAGTACAGCGTCTCGTTCGCTCGAAATATGATTTCTAACCATCGGATAAATCTTCCTCTTCAACGTTCGTTTCTAGAAAGTTATTGGAAAAGTAAAAGAGCCAGGAGAACGAGGGTACCAACGTGAGTGAGCGACCACGCGGCGCAACTGACGACACAATGGGGATGCATAATCACGACGCTTCCGGTGTGTCACGAACGATAGCAAAATCAAATTCGGCGATACAACGATATTTGACTGTGCCCGGTGAAGCCGTGGAAAATGTCGCTCGTGGCGATACCGCGCGATTGCCGCGCGCGAACTCACCTCCGTCGACGCAGGGAAGAGTTCTGCCCTGGCAGGCCGAACTGACCCCTGGGGATCACCATGCGCGCGTTGCCCTGGGCGGGACGCGAGCCCCCGTGCGCCTGCAGCGTGCTCAGGTGAGCAGCGTAGCCGTCGTGCAATATTGTCGCCAAAGCCTGGTGCCTCTTGGACGCCTTGCCGATGATGAAGATCTGGCTCGGCTTCAGATTGATCGCAGTATACACGCTAATGTCCTTCTCGCTGCCGTACGCCTGGTGGATTATCATGCCGTGTTCCTGAAACGCACGAACGATGAAACAACTTAATCGATAACTCAATTGGAAAAGCAAAAGTACGCCTCACATAGCTGTATCTGGTGATTAGTTCTGATTTTTTTATCTTATAACTGTAACTCCTCTCGTTCAGCTATCGACTAACTTGTGTATCTAGTCGTTATCTAGCTGCTAAATAAGTGAGTCACGTTACCGGCTGGCAATGTTAGACACCAATTTACTACCTCGTGGCTGGACACCCACGAGGTTGAATTTCCATTAGGATGATTCGTGTGCGTGAGCATATAATTGGAATAACCATCGCGATGCGCTACGCACGGCGTACCTTCACGAGCTTATTCAAGTACGCGGCTTTGTGAGCGAGCGGATCTCTGGACAGGCCGTCGGCGAACGAGACGAGACCGTGGGGGAAATTATGCTGCGACAACCAGGAAACCACTGTCTGCTGTTGCATGTCGGGCCTCGCGGTAATGTAGATAATGAGGTAACCCAGTTCTTGCCAATGCCTGTGGACATCAATGAACTTCGTTAATACAACGACATATGTTTGGCTCGCGTGTTTACCGAGGAAAAAGAAACATCTGAGAGAACCTTATTTCGAGAGCGAAACAATAATAAGAACGAATACGAATAAGTAGGAAGTATCGTCTACGTCACCTCACAACATCGACGGCACCGGCCCAAACTTTCGGATCCTTACCGCTCACCGATCTGCTGGCAGCGAAGGAGCCGTCTATGCTGAAAACCACGCATTCGGTTCTCGGGGGTATCACCGCCATGAAAAAATCTACAGATGTGTGATCTCCCCTGCGAACGTGTATCTAGATTCAATGCTTTCTCCTATTAGTCGCATCTACGTTGACTACGACGTGCAAACGGCGTTTGCTTAAAGATAATACGAGGAGGAGGTGCGTTACCTTACAACCATCTTTACCGGGTAGAGCCCGTAGCTTAGCGCTTTGTCGTCTGGTATTTTGTATATTATTCTACCATTTTTGTCGGTCACCTCGGTAGAGAGGTGTGTCCACTCACCTGCTGGTGCATCTCGCATAATGTGAATATCCACCTTTTCACCTGCGGCAGAAAAACGAATCAAGTCAGTCGGATCGCTCTAGTTGTTATATTTTTAACGACACTACTAGGCAAATATTTATTTCGGTGTAAAATATGTACGTCGACGGAACGTTTTAATCATATTTTATTATTTGTGATAATGCTTACAGTTAACAAGCACGATTAAAGAACAAATTCAAGTCGATGAAATTATTATATCAAGCAAAAATTAAATTTTAATGTAACAGAGAGAGAGAGAGAGAGAGAGAGAGAGAGGGAGAGAGAATAAGAATTGTGACAGTAGAAGTAAATTTCTTCGAATTTCAAATCTTTTACCTGTTAAAGTTATCATATCAATAGGACTGTACATGAACCTAGCGACTAGTACTTGTGGTGCACCTTCCCTCACGATGACATCATTCGCTCTGTGATTGGCAGCAACGTTCTATAAGAAAAATTCAACAGTAGCAATATCTATTCTTACCCTCACGTTTTGAGTATTGTGAATAACAAAATGAGGCCGGATTGAATACATTTTGCCATCCGGTTCCCAAAATCTTAATATTAAAGCTTAACTAAGAAAATATCTATACCTTAAGTTTAACGGAGGTACGCTTTTTATTCCACTTCTCTCTGGGTTGACCTGGACGGAAGCAAGTGAGATCCTTCTCCTCATTGCCGAGCAATTGCAAGTCGAATCTGCCCAGTTGCCTCAGGATAAACGCGATCACGTCCGAAGATTCCCAATAACTAGCGTGGAAGAGGTGCGGCAAGGCGTTCGTAGGAAAATTCGCGAGACCCTCTGGACAATAGAGTGCGTAATCCAGTCTCTTGGTGCCCCACCATTTCTGCGTCACTGAGACGGACACAAAGGTATCAGACGGAGAAGGAAATTCCTCCAGAAATAAAAACATCTATAGCCTATGGCGAGTTTGATACGCCATTGTTACTCTGACCGCAAAATAAATTTCAGGCGTAGAATCACTTGGGATTGATAGTTCCTAAGTTGTAAGAGCGATTAAATGATGGCGGGGATTCCACAAGTGCGAACGCAAGAGTAGCCACGTCGACGGATGATTTCTACTTACGGGCGGACACCGCCTGCAGAGGAACGCTGTCGATAATGCCCGACATTGTACTTTGAAGCGATATATCGGATAGCCTTCTTAAATGCGACAGTTGAACATTGGGAACGTTCAGTCCGTCGGCGAACAGCTGCGGGTTCGTCTGGATGGTCTCCACTGAAATCGTAACACGTAAGACTCGCGCTTCATGCGTCGCACGTTACAGCTACGATGGACTCTCACGCGAGGACTTACGCAAGTGATAAGGCTGGCCATTGCCGAGCGGGTATTTTTGATATCGCGCAATATTGATCGGCGGAATCAGCGAAAATCTTGCCGAGATCAGAGGCTCCAGTCTCGCGGCCACGGGATCCGTCGGGTGGAACAGATTGTACACCTGGTTGACCAACGGCCTGGGTATGAAACTGTTCTTGTCGCCGGACGCGGCGATCTTCCTGTAAGCCAGAACCAGAGCAAGCGGGCTGCCGAACGTGAAGAAATCACCCACTTCGAAGTCCAGCTTGTTGTCGCTGAAATTTTGAAGGAAATTTCATCGTATAACCTCGTTCTCTTTCTCCCTCTTTGGAATAACCGAGCTCCATTCTTCGACTAAACGCAACCGCCTACCTGGTGCCAGAAGATCTTCTCCTGGGGGACGGCGCGGAGAGATGCCTGCCGTCCTCGGCGTTCCCGCCGTTTTCGTTGCTCTGATTGCTGGTCTCCAGTATGCTGTTCTCGCTGCTGTGCCGCGAATGCTGCGTAGCTCTGCACAGAGCGTCGTAGGTCAGGATCGAGCCCACCGAGTCGCCTACGAAGCAAATCTGCCCGGAGAAACCTTTGCCCTCGTCGCTCTTGATGAAGTCGTGGTACACCTGATTCGCGCCCATCACGACGCGCGACACCGCGTCCTGGTATTCCGAACTTGAGCTCGCCAACAGCGGTATAGCGCCGATCGGAATGGTGTCGTGCGTGACCTGAGGAGCGTCCATGCACGAGGGCGACACGTCGAAACTATACGGACTCAGACTGCGCAACGAAATCATCAGTCCCCGGTAAAACAACTGTATACAGGGTGAGACACGATATTTCTTACCTATGTTACCTAATGTTACCTTGAATATATAAGCGAATATAACGGCTCTCTGAGAAAATTATTGACGAGACTAAAGCTATCCAGGTAGAATAGAAAATGGACGGTGACGCCAAAAAGACATCAAAATGACGAGAGAATGATCGGAAAATGAATTTTTTTATAATCATTTTCTTCATCACATTGACGTTATGATAATGTTCCTACCTGGATGTTCCACGCTAGTTAGAGATGCGCGAATTTTAGTAGATTTTTATATCGGTATTAACTTAGGTGTTATAACAAACGTTTCGATTCCCATTTCGGATCCCTTTGTTAAGAAAATAAGAATCTTTCGTTAACGGCTAGTTGAAGATGGAGAAAATTATATTTACAGAAAGTGTTCGAAGTGATGACCATTGGTATATATCTATTCTGTTAGATAAATTGTTCTCCCGACCTCGTATTTCGAAGATATTCAGGATGGTAATAGTTGTTTTGCCTCATCCTGTATGATATATAGATCACAGTTCTCCCTGCTATTTTGCATCATAATTAAAATTCATTTTACATTTCAATCATACACAATCACAATCAAGTTGTTAACACGTTAATTAACGCGTTGATATCCGTTGACTGCACGATTGGCGTGATTGATGGTTAAATTAGTAAAGATACCAAAAGTAAATTCAATATAATTCGAAACGCGTGTATCTTTTATCTCGTTTCGTTGCCTTTCTATCGGCCGTAAAATCAATTTTTCAAATGCAATTAAATCGTGATATTACATGTAATTAATATTACATGTAATTTAATGAGGCATGGTATCATCATATGTATGTACAACGCGAGCAACCCGTCGCGACGTTCAACGTATTAATTAAAACATTTGAAAGCTCCGGTGATTCGCAAAAATCGATTGAAATAACTAGTCGCAATAAGATCGAACAAAGCTCTTCTTACGGTTTCATGTTGCAACGGTAAAATGGTCAATTAACGTGGGATTAATTAAATTCGTTCTGAAGTATCAGATTGTCAGATCGATGTCAGGCCCGTAACAAATGGCGCTGCAACAAACGACACACGAGAGCGCAAGTAGAAGTGTAACATCACCTTGATAAGATTCCAAGACCTTCGGTACAGATGGAAGGACAGGCGATGAATTTAATGGAGACGTGCCCGACCATACTGGGATAATGCTGTCTCATGACGGATTCGAAAGCTCCACGGAATGTCATGATGTCCGACTTCTTCGCTGTTAAATCGACATTTGCGTCTGAAACGCGGAGTCGTAGATTTCAGATCGAGACGTATTCGATGATCGGAAGATCGATTATCGCTATTTGATGATTTTATTCGATGATTTTATTAGTACCGTCAGTCCATTCACCGATTTCTGCAATTTTCCATTAACACTGGTATGCGTGATAAAATTTCAGATTCGTACCGAAGTATTCGGTTATAATAAACAGAAATTCTGTTTGGTTTCACAAAAAACGGGGCACTCAACTAGACACGCCTCGTTAATTCAACCCTGCTTCTACTTGTCCGTGTAGAAAATCAAATAGCCTCGTAGAGTATTAGCTAACACATAACGTAAACCTCTCACGAGGAGATTACAAGGGAGAGCTTGCGCGCCGCGAAGAATCTTAATTAAATTTAGCGTCGCTGCTAAGTTCCTCCTTCCATTAGACGACCGGTCGTCCACTTGCCCTCGTGATCGCTGAAATTCCTTCTCGTTTCAATCGGCTCTTCGATGAATCTTTGATCGCTCCGCGAGACTTGCGTTGAATTCCATCTTCCTCATTTCTAATGAAAGGATTCACGGGTAAACGACTTTATAGGTGCACCGACGAGTCTTTCTCCCCTCCCGCGTGTCATCGAGGACGTCACTCGTCAGGATTCGGAATCGAGCGCGGCCGAGAGCGACTCTCCCAGCGACTCTCTCCGTTTAACGTTAAACGCGTCAATAATCGATAACGGGAGGAGAACGCGTGGATGTGAGAGAACAAAAAATTGGCAATTGGAAATTGGCATTGGCTGCCATCGAAGATGAAGGGGATGTGATTCCACGCAAATCGCAGAGAGGGATCAGAATTCACCCGAGCTAATTGAACTTCAAAGATCGATTTGAAACGAAAGGAAGTCGGACGATCAAGACGCGGCTAGACGGCTGATCCACTTTAATATGCAATTGATATTTTCGTTTTTCCAGAGAGAGGGATTAAAAGAGATACCACTTGTGAGAGACTCACCCAAAACACTGCCGGCATGCACCACGATAATTAGCACGGTGATCTTGCAAGGTTGATGCGTGGGGGAATGTTGAGGAGATGCCGGGCACGACACGTCGATACTGGTCGACGAGTAGATCTGCAGCCTCTTGCTGTTTCGTTCGCTGGCGACGCGCTGCAGATACGAAGGCGAAAATATCGTGTCCTCTGGAAATGAAAAAAAAGAGAGGCACTTTCTCTCTCTCTCTCTCCCTTTCTCTCGCCACGATTTTCCATGTTGAGCGAACAAGGAAGAATCGCTCGAATTTCGCACACCGGTGTGTCGCGCCGTGTATTATATCCTTCCTCGTTTCGCGCTTCAAATTTTTTTCCGATATATTCAATATCCTCTCTCTCTCTCTCTCTCTCTGTATGTGTGTGTGTATGTATGTATGTATGAGAATGTATGCGGAAAGAGAGCTTTCACGAAGTTAACGATAATTACATACGATATAATTCGCAAAAAGTGTGCAGGCGGTGGTGATTCGATGGAATTACATCGCGAGATAAAATTTCGCCGAATAACGCCGCGAGCGTTAAGAATAATAGCCTTTTCATTTTTGGCTCAGACTAACCTTGCTCATTCGCCGCGGGCGGTGTACGCACAGCCGTGTCTTCCCCTTCTGCTAGAAGATCCAAAGAACTCCATTTAGCTAATGAAGGGCTATCTTCAAAGTCCTCTGTATAATCAGAAACGTTAACACTGCTTATGCAATGTGTCTCTCCGGATAATCGCTTCGAAACGGGACTCGAGATACAAACAATAAAGAGAACACAATAACGTGATTGATAAGATCAATAAGATGCTCGATGCTACGCAATGTAATACTCCAGAAGAGGGCGTGAAGAATTTCAGGAACAGAAGAAAACAAACAACGCCGCGCGCAATCCACTCGGCAATATGATTCACGATGGGAGTAACGGCAGTTGAGTTGCGATTAGATCGTTCGAGAATTCTAGATTATATAGAAGTCATATTTGTGCGATCTATCTAATAGTATATCTATGTAGGCTATCTACATATAAAAATTCTACCTATCGATACGAGCCGATTCGTTAGCCGCTACGTCAACTGTCTTTCTCGCTACGCAGTCATGCATGCCTTGCGAGTTTCTCGCTCGACTCTCACACACATGCTCGATCTGTCTATAATCTTACTCGCAAATCATCGTTCAGAAATGCAAAGTTTGTATGTGTGTGTGTGTGTGTGTGTGTGTGTGTGTGTGTGTGTGTGTGTGCGCGCCAAACTATAGTAAGTCCGCGGTTAGGTTAAGGCCATTCTTTTATCTTGCAGATGCGCTATGTATCTTCGGTACAGAGACGGCGAGCGGTTTTTTCTCTTTCTCACTCTCTCTCCCTCTCTCTCTCTCTCTCTGACTCTTTCTCTCAACTCGCAACTTATCTCTTTTACTACTTAATCGCTCTACGTGTCCTACCTTTGCGTATAACAGGTATAATGAACCCAGCTGCAGTATGATGGGGTGCGACATAGAAAACAAAGAGGATACACATAAAAACACAGCCACATGCTGCCCTCGCTACTTCACTTCTATCTATGCATCGTCTCTTATGCATCTATGCAAGACACACTCTTCTCGCATTCAGTTCACGTGACATCTTGGTTCTACGTTCAGAAGCAGCTCATTAACGCCGATATTAAGACGCCGATGCTAAAAGAACGCATCTCACATAACTCGCACCGAAAGGCATACCCCGGGAGCGGTGTACCGTATTCGTTCGCTTCACGAATATTCCACGCGAAAAAGAAATGCTACGTTGAAAGTCACTCTAGTTCTCTTCCTGGCTCGACATTGTTGAAACTAACACTCGAGTTGTTCAAACAAATGTATAACGTCTTAATTTCAATAATATTGCCGTCGAGTCCCAAAGATTACAATCCCATCGATACAACCGCATTCCTTTCCGTGTATCTCTCCGACTCGACGTGTCGAACGTTGCTATCGAGCTTCTACGAATTTTTCGGGCGCAAAGCAAGTGTGTCGTCGCAATCGTTATCTATTCATTCACTTATGGCGAATCGTGTTAATGTCAACGTCTCCTCTAGATCCCCTAGATATTCACGGGCATGCTATACGTGCGCGCGTGACCGCAACAACCTTACCCTGACAATCGAAGAACTCGTCGTCGCTGCCAGACTCGGATTCTCTGACGATGCTCTCCATCCTCCAATTCGCGATCTGGATGTCGAAGCTTTTGTTGGAACTCGGAGAATGCATCGACACGTTGTTCTTCCGCCACTTTTTCTTGCCGTCCGCCTTCTCGTTAGCGGCCGCGGCTCTGTAACGCAACTCGATCTCAGTTCGATTCCGAACGATCAACTTACCGCTGCGCCGAAATAACAACTGAAAATTATAACGTCGTATAATTGTCCACAAAACGTGATGCTCGTGACGTTTCAAGAGCCTGTTCCTGAAAGGACTTAGGTCGATCTTTCCTTTTTTCAGAAACAAGCGGAAACGCCAGATGTAAATTCTATAAATTGCGCGACCGGCAGATCAGCATATTTTTGCATTCAGAATTTCTATATTTCCCGAACTATAGCTAAATAATTCTTTTCATTGTCATTTGTTTACTGTCACTGTCTGTTTCAACGCATAAGCACAAGTAGAAAAGATTGAAATAAAAAAAAATACAATTTATGATGCGAGATTTATTGACTAATGTTATCATTAGCACGGTGTGTTACTCGACAAAAATTCTCTGCTTGCACATTTTTCTCATTTATACATTTTCGGCATTTTTCTACATTTTTCTCTTCGAGCACGAAACACGTTCTCCCCGATTACGCTGCGATTTCCCGGACACGTCCGCATGTCCTTGAACGCTCCAGCGCGCCACCGTTTAAAAAATAGTAACCATCCGATGTGGAATCGCGTGAGATTCTATCGGCTCTGAGATCATCGCGCGTTTCTAATTCGGAATCTTCGATCTTACCTGATCTCGTCGAGGTCTGTCGGCGAGTCCTCGGGACTGATCTCACCCTCGGAGCTGGCCGCCGTGTTGATGATGGGTATGTCGGACGGTTTCCTGACGGACGGCGGGCTCTGGGCTTCTTCGTTCTTCTCGATGCTGCCCAAGGTGGCCGCCAACGTCTTGGCGACGTCCGATTCCTGCGGCGTCATCGCGACGCCCGTCGCACCAACCGCCGCGCCGGCCGTCGACGCCGCCGCAACGGTCGCCTCTTGGTTCTCACCGAGCTCGTCCGTCGAGTCACCCAGGCCCATCTTCCGTTGCAGCGCCAGCTGCGTCTGCCGCTCGATCTCCCTGATGTCCTCCATCGTCAGTCCATTCCACTCGTCCTGCCAGGCCCATGCCTGTATGTGCGCCCGCAACATCGTCTTCCGCAGAGCTGGAACCGACCTTAATACGTCTCACGCACGGCCGAGCGGGTGGTGCGCCGGTTAAAATTAACCCTTTCGATCATGTAGCAGGGGTAAAAGAAGAGAAAAAGTCGTTCGAACAGCGGCGATAGGACGGGAGTGCGCGGTCGGGGATAACGTAGCGGCGTGCTGAGCGAGCGGACGCGGCTCGTCTCCGCGAATTATGCTAATTGTCCGGATCTCCGGAGAGACGTCGAGCGCGAGCGAACTCGCGAGCCAGCTAGAATTGCGGCTTGTTGCGTTCACGGGAAATTCATAATTGATCTCTCCTTAGCGAGCCTTAATCGCGTGTGAAACGCCGCGGTTGAAGCGCCGTGGAACGTCGGATTTTCAATGACGCTGTTAACCATTTAGTTTCTCTGTTCCTGCGTGGGAACAGCAAGTTTACCTATCGTGAAAAATGTTTTTATCTACGATAAAGGTAGCCTTCTGGCCTCTTGATCTCAGGAATGGTATTAGCTTGAAGTCGTACCGTGCGTGTGGTTTGGCGAGTGTTGCCCCACATGCTGCTCAATGTTTAATACCATTCCTGAGATCGAGCGTTTCCGAAAGGAATTTAAACGCTATGAAACGAGAAAGGTGAGGATGGCAACCAGCGGTAATCATGGAAAAATGCAAACCGGTTACAGGCCTGATTTAAGTAATAAGAGAGAGTTTCAATTTTGAAAGTTTAATATATATTATATAATGGTAATATATATTATACAATTTTAGAGATATTATTTATTTTTTCTTATTAGAGAGCGCGCTTCACTTATATACATATACCAATTAATTTAATAGAAGAGCACGGATAACAGAAAGAGGTGTATGTGTAATGTATGTGTATATGTACACGTGTATCGTGACGTATTACTGTGAATTATAAATTTCCTACGGCTGTATTTTCAAAACGAAACGGTCAAGAATTCTGAAATTTCTTATATAATATCAGTATATCAGTCGTCGACATCACGATAGTTTTTCATTAAAATCCTAAATGTGATTTAGAAAAAATTAAAAACAGAAATTAAAAATAGGATATTTAACTTCAAGGAACAGGTATAAAAAGTGTTAACTTTAGTTATAAACGGTCAATCGTTTTTGTAATTTACAGACGTGTAGCACGTGGTATTTTCATCGATGTGCAGCTACGATTTAAAAGGATCCCGAAGAGAATGGAAAACGGACGAAATATCTTAACTCGGAGGGCTCGTGTTTATTTCGGAAGGACGAGTGTTTTCCGAAGTTCGATCGATCGAAATTTGCTCAATTGAAAGTGTGTGCTCGCGAGTGTCGGACAAATCTGTTTTCCACGAGAGGGTGGGAGACTCATGATCGAAAGGGTTAACCCTTTAGCTGCCGGGCTCTTTGCGAAAAATTTACATCAAATCAAATCTAACGAAGTCGCATTAATTACCAAAGCATCGCTGTCGTCGTTGCAAAGGGCGACAAAATGAATAAATGCATGAATTACAATATATGGAATATGTCAGAAATCGCGCGACTACTCTCGAGCAAATTGCGACTCGACGTTATCTTCTTTCGTAACTTGATTGAATTTAAAAATATCACTTTACATTCAACATTTAATCGCTCGTGACTCGATGACGATCGATCTCCCAGTACTGAGAGGAAGATCAGATTCTTTTTGATTCGTACATTATTCAAGAGATTATTCCGACCGTTTGGAGAAAACGCGCAACTTCTGAGACACTTCGTGTACCAGAAAGTAAATTGCAAATTCTGAATTTACAAAGACAGAGAGAGAAAGAGAGAGACAGAGAGAGGCAAATACCTAACATTAAAACACTAAGGTTCTCTCAATGCTTCGACCGTAAAGCATGCGATATTCTGAAAAAAAAAGAAACAATCTGCGGAAGAATTAATCTTCACTTTTCGTGAATAATCTCTCCCGAAAACTAAGCGACGAAGGGGTTATCGCATATCAACCCTATATCCTACCGTTATGTATATCTGAAGCTGAAAACGAAACCGGAATCAGCATCGCCCGGCATCCAAAGGGTGAGAAAGGGCAGAAGAGGTGAGCAATTACGGTACTAACCTACGTCGTGTATGAACTTTTCTAATTTCGCTTGCATGCCCCAATAACGGAACTCTACTCGGCATAGCTTGTACGCGCACATTAGTGACTTTCCCGACGGCGATGGTTGTTGCTGTCCCTAGACGGCGAGAGAATCGCTAATGTATCAACGGTGAAACTACTTAAGCAGAGAGGTGTCAACTCTTCAAAATAAAGACAGAGAAAAGAAAGAGAGAGATCGAGAGAAAAAAAAGAAATAGAGAGATAAATAGATAGATAGATAGAGATAGAGAGAAAGAGAAAGAGAGAGAGAAAGAGAAAAAGAGGAAAAAAGAAAGAAAGGAGAGATGTATACTTCCACATCGGCCCAATAATCCTCCAGCCAGGTGTCCTCCAGCGGGCCTCTTCCGGTTTTGTCCGAAACGTACAGCTTAGGATCCTCCTCCTTTACGTAGTCGGACCCGTAAAGCTGATCCTTGACGATGTCGATCACATCTTGGAAACAGATCGTTAAACGGGATCAGTCCGCGCCAGGCGGTATTATGCACGACACCGGTCGTGATATTTTCACAACCGGTAACAATAACGCATTGAGAGAGAACAGACGGAGAAATGACGTGACTATTCGCTCGACTCGATCGGAAGATCAATACCGACACCCGTGTGTACACATGCACACATATACACCGTTCACGTCATACATTCAACCGCGATTTTACCCGAGTCGACATTTCGATGCTGCTTTCATGCTCTTAAGGATAGTTCGTGCTTGCATAGACTCATAGATTAATAAAATATGCCTCATAGACTGATAATAAAAAACCTACTTAGACGATACTGACACTTGTTTACTTGTCTCTTCAACCTTGTATTCCACAGATTTAATTTTAACACTCCGCGGTCCGTCGACTATACAGTAACGATGTGACAACATTGATATATCAACGATACACACGTACATCTATAATTGAAATTAGATGCGTGAAGAAAAGTAAAAACAAAATATGCTTACTAATGTTAGAAACAAAAGAGCAAAATTTCGACTCGGATAACCCAAATTTTTTACGTGTCAGATAATCTTTCGCAGGCTTCCCACAGTCACGGTTACAACGATCGATACTCGACTCGTGACTCGCAAAATATCACGATCTTTTCTCCGCCCCCTGCCGCTACAACCAAGTCAATGAAGCAAGTACGATCTCCTCGTTACCCACGATCCTGTTCCTGTAATCACTGCCGCTCAGCTGGAAGACGTTATCCTGGTGACCGTTGTCCGGGAAATAGTACGTCTCGACTTCGACGGAGAGTTTCTCCACGAACGGGCATGTGTAGCGGGTCTTGGTGTACGGATAGGCGTTCCATGCCTCCTCCTTGGCGATCAGAGCCGACTTGGGCAGCAGGCTCTTGAACCAGCCTGGTAAGTGACTGCCCACGTGGTAGATTTTCAACGTGTACTGTCCGTCGCCGCCTGGACCGTCGCTGTACGGCTTGTTCTCGATTATCTCCACGCCGCTACCGGAACCCGTGCTCTCCACCCGAGACTTTTTCTGCGCGAATTACACGGCCCATGTCACATCACGCTTATTGATCACCGCGATCGCGCGTCCTCCCCCGCCCGCGTGAAATTATTAATAAGCGTTTCGTGAACAAAGAAAAGGCAAAAAGGGAGAAAAGAGAGAGAGAACGATAAACTCGGAAATGAACTCGGAAACCGAACGGACGAATGAAAATAAGTCGGGGGATAGATTTCTGTCTTCAAACGGACCCCTAGTCAAAAGCCATAAAGGTAAGTATGGTGCGTACAATATTGCCAAATCTTTACAGGTTAGGCTGTCATATACTTCAACTATCAATCGGGAATTGTGTATTTTACATCTCAATTTCCTCAAAACTAGATGGTCCAGTGATCTCGCAATTTTTTTTATAACATTTCTATAAATCTCACTTATCGTCTTCTCGTCTCTTGTTAAAACCGTTAAAGTAGTTTGGCCGCTGGAGATTAAAAATCGGATGTCGGGAGTCACTTTTCGCACCTATCGTCGTTTCGATTAACACGCTGCTATTAAATTTTAGAAGATTCCTGAGAAAATCAATTTACGAGCCAACTACTTTAAACTGGGTGAATCAACGTTTCCGGACTTCGACGCTTCGAAAATTCAGGACATCGATTACCGTGTCTCCGGCTTGTAATGTCAGACGCTCTTAAATATAACATCGAGCTGCGAATACCGCCGTACAAATTCACCAGGATACACGCGAAACACGTTCGGGCGAGCCTTGCAAACCGATCACACCGCCACATATTGACACGAATTTCAACGAGGAGTAACTGATGTCGAATTAATCGCGATAATTACCGCTATCATGTATAGCTGAGCGATACGATACTCCTCTACCGTGAGAGGCATCGGTATGCGATATTCCTTGATCAACATTTTGTCGGAGCCTGTCCCGTATCACACGTGCATCTTCGCAAAGTGCATCTCCCCTTCAAGGACACCGTGCGCCATCCCGCGCGACATCCTCGCGACATCTCGAAGGATCCTTCACGACGGGGATCGGGAGCGACGTTCCCATTTTGCGTCGTCAGGTGTAAATCTCTGTAAGAAGGCAGAGAAAGAAAGAAATTGCGCCTCGTGCGCCTCTCTCGATCGCTCGTGTTACAGGTCGAACGATCTAAATTCGGAGTGGCGAGCTATTATCTGCTACGCAAATTGAATCCACCGGTTATCCGGTCTCCCGCCGTTTCCTCGGCTAAAATTGACTGCGATCTCGGTTGTAATCTACCGTAATCCCAACTACGCTAACGACAGGCCGTTCGAAGAGGAAGAGCAGGCGAACGTTGAATGAAAATAAAAGGAGGCCGATACAGACAGAAAAAAATAGATCGTTCTTTATTAGCGTCTTGCTTCTTTGTAACGTGACATCGAGGAACCAATAAGTATCGCCGATAAAACTATCGCTTATCTCACATTTATCTTGTTCGTTATTAAAGTTTCGTGCATTTTTCCGAATCTTCCTCTCGTCAGACTTGTGATATCTCATTAGCCAACGTGATGTTCTTCCTCTCTCTCTTTCTTTCTCTCTTGATCGTTAAAGAATTTAATTAACTGAGTATGCTGTAGAACAGTTTCGTGTTGAAGAATTAGACAAACTTCACGAACAGTAAACGCTACAAATACTTTGTATTGTTATGTCGTTGTTTCGACCGTGTCTTTGACGAATTAGCTCTCTCTGTGTCTCTGACAAGACACCGGTTTGTTCCCCGTCAAATTACCCGCCGTGATTACGAAATGTCCGTTATGGCAGACACAAATCGCGCCGATTCTACCTAACAGACCGCTATACGAGCCGCTACATAAATATCGTATCCTTCTGCGTGTGAATAGTCGCTGTGCCGGAAATATTCGCAATACCGGTGCTTAGTCATACTTAAAAGCAGCCATCAACGCGTCCAGCGTGGAAAATAATCTCCGTGTTTGGAGAACCTGGGATTCAAATGAAGATGAATGAATCCTTGCAAGATGTTTGTGCAACGTTGCAATTTTTTTCTTAAGTATTTCGTTTAGAGTCTATTTAAAAGCCATGATACACTAAAGACGTAAACAAATCAATCGATCACAGTCGAGAATTTCAACATGATAATCTTACGCTCATATCAATAATTGCTATTTAAAACTTGTCTCGAATGAAATTCTTGAATGAAATATTCAGGTTTGAGTTTAGAGTTGAATGTGGACTTTCTTGTGACATTTTCCTCAATATTTATTGGTTAGAGAAAAATTTGATGACGAAATACATATTTTTGTAAAATATAGTCTAAGTCTCCTTGTTAATTGGTTTATTTGCTAGGAATAAAATTTTATTCCGCCGTATTTAAATAAACGTTTATTTCGTAAATAAACGTTTATTTCTGTGAATTAAATCTTATATTTCACAAATCAATTTTCAAGTTTTCTTTTTCTCAATATATTACCGATGTACCACCTATTTTCTAAATTTCTTCGAGTAAATTTTATTTGAAAAGTGGAGTAATAAACTGAGTCACTCGAGTCACTCGAGAATGAAATCTCCCACCATGAATAGTCGAGTGAATATTTTCATTCAAAGTTAAAAAATAAATTTGACATGTTCATATAAACATATTCATATGTTTAACCATCACTGTAACAATCCATCACTGTCACTCCGATGGATTGAAACGTTTACTCGCACACATTAAGACTTCGAAACGTTCATTTCGAGTAAATTTCCACGGATATTCAATGAGATTTCGTCCCGAGACATTTGGAAAACAATCATTCTCGACAGTTCCCGAATGCAACTGGCCAACTCGCCACGTCCCACGTATCTTCTCCCTCTTATCATCTCCGTGATCCCGCGCGCATAGAAAGCAAATTAGCGCGATATCTCATTCGTGCGATATAATCCACGATAACGACGTATCGGTGAACCTCGGACGATCGACGATCCACGACGATCGCGCCTCAGGCTGGGGCAATAAACAAAACGTTACGCAAAACGTTTATTTATACGTGGCTCGGCCTCGGCGCCTTGTGGCCGTACACGCATTTCGCTTTTACATCGCGCACGAAATTAGCGGCAATTACGCAAATCCGCTCGCCGAACTATAGTCCGCTCCCGTAAATATACACACGTACACACGCATACACACGCGACGCATCGTAATCGTAGCGCGCTGGAAATTGCGCGTAGGCTGCGCGTTTATCGCTTCATTCCTCCATGTCGGCGGAAGCGGCAGATAAGCGCGCGCGATGTTATCAAACGCCGCGCCGTTCACGCCGTCGGCGTCGCACGTGTTGCAATTTCCGGCCGAAATGTGTTTGCAATTTTTACTTGCAGTTCGTAGCCCTCTCTCTAGCAAGTGTTTCTCATTAAGTCCTTCATTAAGTCAACGACGGTATCTCGCGACCGAAAATCGCGGGGAAACGATTGCGGGTGTCACTCCACCGGCTCGTACGGCCCAGCACTTTCGATCACGCTCGTCGAGCATACGCGGTGTGATTAACCCTTCAATCAATAGTCTCAAGTGTTCCCTCCTTCCCGGCTTTTAGGCGCGAGGATGACAAAAAGGCGAGGCTCGTCGGCTCCCGTTCTCGGACGGGCGAGTCGAGCTTCGAGTTAATATATTCACGCGGCTACCTTTCACATGGATGTTAAACAATTTATTATGCCCGGAACTTGTTAAGGAATACGAGATGCACGAGGAGGGGGGTTTCGCATCGAACGGAGTGATCGCGGCGCACAGGTTTTCGAATAATCGTGAATAAGCGAAACGAGGCGGATTACCGCAGCCGATCGCATTGTGCGAAAGGTATTAACGCGGACCGTACGGATAATCCGTGAAATTATTAATTCGGAAAGCGGTTTCGGTGAAAACTCTTCGTCGATGGGAGCGTGTTCCGCGCGAGAACGATTTTTGACGGCGCTCACACCGGACGCGGCCGCAAGCGCACGTTATTATCTCAACTCATGGCGTGCGACCGTAATCAATTAAGGAAACGATGACGTCACGATACTGACGCACTGAGAGAAATTGTAGTTATTCTCGATACCTCAACACCCCCTTTTATGGTTCTAACCACAATAATATACACAGGAACAAAAGTGCTGGATTCAAGTAAACATCAACTACTCCAATACTCCTCGGCGAGTTTTTGACAATAATAACATTCGAAATCTCATTCCCTCCCCTTGTATATTATTATTATTTACTTTCGATATCTCACAAACCTCCGTAATCTTCGGTCAACGAAGAAGGGAAAGACAGGTCACTGATGACGGTAATTCGATTTACCGATAAAAGGGTTAAACAATGACGTCAGATGATGCGAATGATGTCACGGGGGGCGCAATCGAAAGATATTAGGGGTGACTCGACGACGGGGCGCGACGACACCGAGGAACGACACACACAATGCGAACACGGCGACGCGTCGCCACCGACTGGCACACGGGAGCGGATCGCAGTCTCACGACTCGTCTCGAACCCGCGAAATCGCCGCCGACCAATCAGGAGCTGGTGGCCGCCGCGACCCGACGACGACGGCGGCAGGGCCGTAAATTAAACGGCGCCAGCCGAACGAACGTATTCATGATTTTGCGGCAAAAGGCAGTTTTCTCGCGGTATTATGGGGCGGATCCTCCATTGACGCTCCTCTCGCTTCTTTTTTCCTCAATTATCCGGCAGTCCGAGAGAAAGAGAGAGAGAGAGAGAAAGAGAGATCCCGTTGACCGCGTTTTGTATAGAGACGCGCGCGTGTTCACGGTGAATGACAGAGTGACGATCGTTCGCGCGAAACGCGATTTTGCATTCGCGGTGTGAATGCGCGTGTATCGTTATATGCTGTCATCTGAAACAGGTAACGTACGATAACGAAATCAGTGAGACAGGTGTGTCGCCGGGATAGCGGGCAAACACGGACGATCGCGCGTTCGTTTGGAACGAGCCCGCAACCGAGAAGCGAGCAACGAGCGCGAAGTTCGGCGTCCGATCGAGAGCGAATCTCGTGGGTGGATCGTCGAGCCGGAGCGAAATCGAGCGACGCGGATAGAGAGCGACAACGCGCCGCGCGCTTCCCGCTGTTTCCCGCGGACACGACGCGGTGTCCGAGGCCGCCGGGGATTGCTTCCTAGATAACGAAGACGTGTGATAGCGGAGAGATCGTTGTTAGATAATAGAAATGTTACGTCGACGAAGTGGAGTTAACTCGCCTCCGGACAACCACCGAGCAGCCGGCTCTCCTTCTCCGTCGTCGTCGACGACGCCGCCACCGCCACCACCGCCTCCCGGTCTATTGATCGCCCCCGAACGGCCAGGAAAGCGCGAGGCCAGCTGCGCCACACTCGCTCGCGCCAGCGAGCTCCCGCGAGGGCGAGACCAAAAAGCGGCGCCGTGAAGGCGTCTTCGCGGAGCCACCTTCAACCCCTTCTACTAGGGGGGCCTCCGCACATGTTGCTACTCGAATTCGACGCCGGGGCACCTCGAAGAGGCACCCCGGAGCGCGCTCGGAGATCAAATTGGAATTGTGCGGTACTTGAGACTATGATGAAAAATTATAGTCTAGGAAAGCATATATAGTAACTATGTTACTATATGTTATTATTTGTTTATTACTATATGTTACTGTGATATATTACGATATAGTGTGAACCAACCAATACATTTATATCCGGGAAGAAAGTCTCGCTAAAGTTAAAGGGTCCCAAGTATTCCCGGGGAACACATTTTATATATCTATATCAATGAGATATTTGTTTTTCTTTCGAAGCCGTAGTTAATAGTAAAAAAATAATCTGGCAGATCATAAAAAAATAACATAGCCACGGCTCGGCCAAGTCTGAACCATACATGCTTTTTTCCCCTTTCCTTTTTTTCTTTCAACAGGTTGACTGCAACGGAAGTCGGCATCGGTGATCGGCATTTGACTCTTCAGTGGCACTTCAGTAAGATAAATGCACTATATATATATGATGTATGTAACGATGATACCGTTTAATCATTTTACATAATGTTTTATCATTATACGTTTTGATAGCGAAAATTTACGTAATGTAGACGGTAAGCGAAACTCGCGAAACTCGTCGGACAGTCAACGTGTTAATAATAGTTAAATCATTGTCTCTCGAAAATAATCAACGAGAAGGGAAAGCCAGGCGGATCGTATTTCTCGAATGACATGTATTCATGTATGCAAACGGGGATAAATGGAAATGATATATTAAATAGATATATCTTTATATGTGTACGCATTATAAAGAACGGATTTCGTGAAATCGCGTTTTTAAAAATCGAAGATCTTGTCAAAGTCGTTCATCGATTTCTTCGTTCGTTTACTTAAATACACCGAAAAGAAAATTAGATGGAAAAAATTAATTCTCAGAGTTGCACATGTTTTGTCGCACTAACTGCGATCGAATTGAATGAAAATCGAGAGAGAGAGAGAGAGAGAGTAACTGCTCAGAGAGCGACAATCTAACGTAAGAATTTAAACTGCAAAATATAGTCAAAGCTAAAAGGTTAACTTAACATGGAACTGGAATGTAATTATACGTATGATATAATTCCTTCAACTACCAAAAGCTTGCAATTTCCAACTTCATAATACGAGCAATTCCACCTCTGATAAAATAAATCGGACGACAAATATACGATCAATAATGTGTTGCATCAACTTAACGTCCGCCTCGTTGAACCAAATTTCGAGCTTGTTTTGTACAAACCCGAGATTAAAGCGACATGAAAATTTTTACTGAAAGAATTACGGCAGCTGATTCGCGATGCGTAAACCTTGAAATTGAGTTCGTTTAATTCAATTCGAGTTTGTCTCGACTGGTCTTTTTTCATACTGTAGCCGTCGTAAGAAAAATAATAATCTGCGAGATACTCAGAGAGACAGTGTATACAAGCACGCTTTTAATAACGATCTCACGTACATAAACATTTTTTAATCCCTTCTTCTTCAATATCGTATTTTATACCCGTAATATTTTCCGGTGAACAAATATCGTCAAATTACACGCAGCGGACGTGTGACGCGAACTTTACGCGACGCCAAGGGTCTCTGCTTCTGTTCGGATTTAATATTTCACGTCCGCGATCTCTCTCTCTCTCTCTCTCTCTCTCTCCCTCTCTCTCTCTCTTTCTCCGGAGTGACGAGGATCGATTAAAAATTAAAGCGACCGCCGCGTGTCGAGTAGGCAAGCCGTCATTTTCATCTCGTCCAGTAATTTCCAGCTGCCACCAGCAGGAGCCGAGCTATTTCCACATTCCGCCTAATTATCCGTCTTCTTACGATACTTCTCGTTCGGGTCCTCGACTTCGTAGCCATGCGGCGGGATGGCGTTTTTCACGGGATTATGGAACAACGTGTGATTGCCATCGCCCCAAGGAAATGGCTGTTTAAAAAGAAAGGAGAGGGATAGATTTGAATTTTTCCCGAGATGCTCGAGCGTTCCCGAATTTCCGACGAGAGATTTTTACTTTTTCGTAGATCACCCGAGTCTCGAAATTTTGTAGTTTTACACAAATTCCAGCGAACTTGAAAAATCAATGGAGAAGCGACAGATGCAATACTGTATAAACTATCGTCAGCAGATTCAAGATGGCTCGGCCTCGCATTCCAAGAAGCATTATTAAACGCACAAATTAGCGAGGTTTAAAATAGGTTTTAAAATGCCGCTATTCGTAGCTATGAATTATTTACGATCTTTGATTGAGAGCGTAAATCATAAATTAGTATTCATGGGCCGTTGCTCGGCAGTTTGGATCGATATTTCTTGTTGTACGAAGCAAATGCAACTACAAGTAGACGAGCAATCTAATATTCAGCGAGCTATTATTATTTGTCAAATAATAATAGACTACGGACGCTGATCTAAGTGTCGTTTCTTCTGCTCCACAACAATTATTTGTAACATCAGGTAAGATGATAGCTTGTGTTATGTCTCGAGATGATCTGTTTCAATGATGATTCAAATTCAACGGAATTTCCGGAGTTAATGTGAAACCGAAATTTCGACTCGAGTTCAAATTAATCCACCCTCTGTCTTAAAGAAGACGCATGGGAGAGCGATGGTTTTACAATTTCTTCAATTCTGGGTGGATCGGTAAGAGCGGAGATCATTCCAAAGTCACTGTCGAAAGTTCGCGTGATAAAGAATTGATGAAAACCGGAAAACGGACTTGTTTACGTGGATATCCAGGAGCAAAAGAGATCGTAAAAAAGCTCCAGCAGTCGTCTTCCCGTTCGAGAAACTCGAGTAAACACGCGCACACGTGGAACACGGCGAGAAACGCGAAATTTAAGATATAGACAGGCTAGAGTAAGGTCTTCGTGAAATCGTAGGTCTTCGTTAACCGATAAATGCGAGGATCACAGGGGAAAAAATAGGTCTAGCTGGCTGAAGAATAAGAGATGCGGTAAATTAGCGCAATCAGATAAATAAAACAGAATAATTTTGGGGGAAAAACGCTCAAAAACCGACATATCATATTTTAGGCTTTAAATTAAGTCGACAAGATTCGCCCCCGAGTCGCTTTTCGGCAAGCGAGCTTTTGCAAGAGGAAAGCCTGATCGCAAGTTTCGTCGGGAAAAATTAAAACATGCCACCCGCGAGAGATCTGCCCGTGTTCACGGCGAAACGGCAGATCTCGCGGGGGTGGAAAGAGAGGCCTTGAGTCTTGTCGCTATCGCTCAGACAGCCGCGACAAATGGCGTTGAACTTATACCTTGGTGCGACGATACATGTAAGGGAAATTCAGAAACGGCGGTCTCGGTTCCTTCGCTTTTTTCCGATGCCGTACATAATTGTACGCCGACATGATCACGATCAGGGGCAGCGCGACGAAAAGGAAGAGGCTTCGCCAGAACACGAATTTGGGTGGATCTGTGCTCACAATCGGTCGCGCATTGTCATTATATAACACATTATGTGCAACATGTCGTCGCGACATCGCGATAAGTAATGACACAAGACGGTTATACGGCCCAAGTTAAATTGCAGCTCATCGTTCTCTCTCTCTCGATGAATTTCTGAAAAGGAGCCGAGGAAGGAGAAAAAGCTCCGTACGCGCGCGTCGGGAATCCCCGCATCGTCCGGCCCTGAATTTATTGCAAAAGTTCGAAATATAGAGCACGACATTGAGACTCGCGCGACGTTACCGATGTCAGATTGACAAATCGGCGGCTTGAAACAAGGCGGATCCGGCTTCTCAAGACACGGTGGGCAAGGATCATCGGCGGGATCATCGTCTGTCGAGTGGGTGGGAGCGGAGGAGGACGCGGGGGAACATGTTTCCGGTACGTCTTCGACAGTCGACGAAGGGGGGCAGTCCTTCGACTTTTCAAACGAGCCGAGGTTTCTCCAAAATGTCAGCTGCCATAAATCGGGTAATCTCCGGCGGGAGAGAGGAAATGACGTCATGTACCGC